GGGAGGGAGGGACATACCAATTGGCTGCCTCCAGCTGGGATTGAACCTGCAGCCCAGGTACATGTCCTTGACCAGGAATCGAACCCGCAACCCTTTGGTGCAGGCCGGCGCTCTAACCGCTGAGCCACACCGGCCAGGGCTGGACTCATTTCCTTTCAAAGAACATTTTATTCCTGAAGAGGCTACAATTGAGAGAAATGAAGGGGCTCCCGCTTGGTTTTGCCACCACCTTTGCTCCTAAAGGCATCGACTGTTCCTTGTTTGGCGCTAGAGTGGCTACACGCTCGTGAGGAAGGACAGCGAGGAAGAACTGTCCCTGATGGGGAGCCAGGACATGGAGGCGGGCGGCAGCCCGATGGAAGATGGGTGTCGAGACGTGACATGTGAAGAGGTAACGTTTTCAGTGGCTCACGATGAGAACAGAGCATCGTTAGGCTTTCATAGCAATAATCCTCACGACGCGCACAGTAGTAATCATTTTTTAAAAAACAAAACAAAGACTTGTCCTGAACTTGGAGCCCTCTTGTGCCTCGTGGGCATCTGCTGCACATGCACACTGACTAACCGCATCCTGTCGTCCGCCCCTCAGTTTAACTTTGGAGAAATACTAATGACCCAAGTGATCCACTCCATCGAGTACTGCCTGGGCTGCGTCTCCAACACCGCGTCCTACCTGAGGCTCTGGGCCCTCAGTCTGGCTCACGCACGTAAGTGTCCCCCTCGGCACCAGGGCGAGCTCCCGGGGACGTTTTAAACGCGCGAGGGGAACGGAGACCATCTCTCAAAGGCTCACATAATGCGAACAGAAGTTAACTCCACAAAACGATTCTCCGCAGAGCTGTCTGACGTCCTGTGGGCCATGCTGATGCGCGTGGGCCTCCGGGTGGACAAGACCTACGGCGTCCTGCTGCTGCTCCCGGTCATGGCGCTCTTTGCAGTGCTGACCATTTTCATCCTTTTGATCATGGAAGGGCTTTCTGCATTTCTTCACGCCATACGCCTCCACTGGTGAGCTTGCAGTGTAGCTTAGAGCTATTATTTTTTAAAAAATCTAACCTCTCCCCCAAATATGTGTATATAAAACCCCCACAGAAATCTAGTGCTTAATTTAGGCTGGAGCTTCCCTTCCTAACACTGGGATCTGTGCTCAGATCCCCGAGTTCTATTGTGTTTTGTTTCTGAAGTGTTATCACTGATAAGTGGAAGCAAGTTTACGCTTGCCGAATAATTGTGTTTCACACTCAGTTCACCTCGGGCCGGCAGAGTGCTCTGCCCTGTAAAGTGCTTCGTACGTGCTTCTCAGTGTCTTCCAGTGTCTGTCAGGTTACTTGTCCGGGCTCCCCGGTACCAAGGTGGAGAGGGGCCCCGAATGCTGGTGTGAGTGGGTGGCGCGCCTCGTTTCGGTCGCAGGAGGGGCGGGCGCGGGGCTTTTAGCTCAGTACAGACATTTCTGCGGGAGCAGGTATGGAGTGAGGCAGCTTCAGCGCAGGAACTGTTTTGTTTTTTTAACTTATAAAAGCTGTTTTAAGAAACGTAGGTGTTACTCACCCCCTTTCACTAACACCTGACTTCTCGCCTTCCAGGGTAGAATTTCAGAACAAATTCTATGCTGGTGCAGGCACCAAGTTTGTCCCCTTCTCGTTCAGACGACTCTCGTGGAAGGTCAGCGAGGACATGGCGTGATCGCGCCAGGTCTCACGCACGTTCACGTCCACCGAGGATGATCATGTGGTAGAAATTCACTTGTGCCCGATTTGCTTTAGGAAGAATTGTCTCCGTTGATTGCCTTATGATCTAGCCAAACAATTCTGTAAGACATACCTCTTCCTCGCATTCAACATTTTGTAAAGTTTCTCGATTTTAGATATACAAATTTTATTTCGGTTTTTATGACGAGCAAATATAAGTTAATGCCAAACGTTACGTTAAAGTTATTTTTTCAAACACAGGCTTGGGGGAGAGAAGCCCATTTTGAACAGCCAATCGAAAATGGTCTTAGATACTGAATTCCTTTTCACCTTATTAAAAAAAAAAAAGTTATTCTGCCACCCGAAGTCAGATGATATTTTCCAACAGCTGAATATGAGTATAGTTTTTTAAAAATTTTAATGATGGGTCATCAAAAGACATGTATTCTGCTTGACTGAAGTATGCAAACATTTTTTATTGAATGTTGTCTGGAATTACCAGTAGGAGGTGGTTTGTATAGTTCCGTCTTGTTTTAGTAATTGGGGAAAATGGGATAAAATAACCTACAACACATGGTTATCCCACACGTATATTTTTTTAAAGACCTCTCTCTGCCACCCTCACGTAACTCCTCTTATGATCATTGGACATTTGGAAAGAAACTGTTTACTGAGCCTCACAACTGAGTGTGACCAGAATATGCGATAGAGACGCGATCTGAACGTTTAAGTGACCAGCGTGGCTGAACCAAAAGGGGTTTATACTGAGTTGGAGGTGAGGTAACAAGCGGTCTTTTGTATACTTTTATAACAAAATGTAAATTAAGATATTTTACCATGAGGAGGTTGAAGCCACCCTTGAGAACAGTACATTGATCTTTCTTTTTACTTTCAGACTAATTCTAAATAAAGGTCTGATTAAGGCATTTAGTTCCTTTAAACTCCCAACACTGTTGAGATCAGTTGAAAACATTCTCAGCCATTAATTTAGAGTCGTTAGTTTAGATCCGTCTGCTCACTGAACGTTTAGTTTCTAATGAATGGAAGTCAGTCCTATTGAACATTTGATCTGTCCTGTCTTCTTGTAAATTATGTTCATTCTTCATACTTTACTGCAATGGATTGTAGGTAATTATTTTCAGAAAGAAGCCTGCAGTATTGTCACTTGCTCGCACTTTGCATTACACATGCAAAGGCTCACTGGTCGCCGTCCTCCGTTGCCCTGGCCTGTGGTAATGGGCTTGGAGTTTTCTCTACAAGCTGTGATTCCGGTAGCGCTGAATTTAAACATATCTGTTCCGTTTGTGAACTGAACATCAGACATAACTGTGACTCTAACATCAAACCTTTCTAGTTGTAGCAAAGATTCCATGCTGCTCCATGAGCCGTTACCCAGGGCCGGTTTGGAGTTACTGGGTTTTTCCCTCATATTAAAATATCAGACATAAAGTGATGCTGATGAAACTCTTGAAAATGATTCTGCTCTGGAAGTCAGGTTTCCCCAAAAAGGTGTAATGTTGGACACTTTGGGGGTGAATGAGAAATTGGAATAATGCTGTCCAGGTTTCAAGCTTGTCCCTTGAGTTGTTACTTTTTATCACTTTACTCCAAGGGTCTGTTATAATAAAATGGTAGCTGATTCATCCCTAGGAAACTCACGATTTCTGGGCACTATTAGTAAACAAGAGACGTACAGCATCTGCTGGAATCCTCTACTGCCCCCGCTGCTAACTGTCACGGGGGCCACTTAACCCTAATTAGCACCTCTTACCAGGGTATAGAACCCAGAGCAGAGAGTTGTTTTTCAGTGGAAACCTATGTAGCATGTAATTATATAAAAAACAGTCCTAACAGAACTCTCTAGAAATACAGTTGGATGGTGTTTTAGGCACCAGTGGGAATTTTCTTTATAAAGCTATTGGTTCCAATGTCATGTTTCCAGAGCAGTCGCTTTGTTTGGTTTTGAAGCTGTTTGGTACAACTGTTATCTATACAATCTTTTTTAAGACAAGACTTTATTCTTTTGACAGCAAATATCAAGAGGAAAAGGGGTCAGGTGTCTGGATAGTGTTAAATAGGATTATTTTCCTAAAGATACATGTCATGATGGCCACATGCTCCTGTTTTCATTCTGTGTGAGTGGAGTCCTAAAATAAACACCCAGGGTGTCTCCAGTAAAACAGAATCTGATTCCATCCTGCAAGGGTGAAGGACATCCCTGTGACGTAATCGTGGTCCATTCACAAGTGCAGTGGTGTTCTGGTGGGGTCACGGTGAGCCCCGTGGACTGCCCGCTCATGGGGGGCGCAGCTTTGAAAAGACGCACCTGTCCCCGAATGCCCATCTGCCCTCATTTCTGGAACGGGTATTTAATAACAGCATTCTGGTCTCAGTTTCCAACTGCAGTAGTTTAATAAGTCATGCAGTGTCTGTAGCACAGGACATTTTAGGACCTTGTTCATTTCAGAAAACAAAACCGAAAGATAACCTCAACAACTGTTCTGCAGTCTGCATTTAAAAACAATAAGTTTCTTGATTAAAAACTTAAAGCCAGGTTTGCTTGCATGCCCTCTGGTATCTCTCCAGCAAGATGATTAAGAAAACTTAATCCAAGATCCTGACAATAAGGCAGTTCCGAGCGGCAGTTTCCCAACAGCCAGGCCACTCCCGAGGGATGCTGAGCTTCGGTTTAGGATTTTAGGAAATCCTTAGGACTTGCCGCTCGTTTCTCAGTGAGAAAACCCAACAGGAAGGCTCGGTTCTCAGGGTTGGCCAGGGAACCCAGGGGCTCAGTTCTGCCAGGGAAACCCGTGCACAAGGTCCCCAAATGCACGAAAGGACAAGTCTGCACCTTCCTGCCAGTGTTGCACTTTTTACCAATGAGAAATAAATATATATTTTTAAAACGTGAGTGTTTTGCTTTATTCCTGATCCTGTACCCCCGCCCCCCAAGGTCACTCGGCCAAGGTCCTCGCTCTGACCCACGGTGGCTGGGCTCGTCCTTCCCGGCCGCCAGCGATGCCTCCGCCACCTCCAAGAGGCTGGGGCCTTGTCACCCCTCTCGCTCGGTCTCCTTACAGCGAAATGGGCAGGACGCGGGCACGGGGAGCCCAGGGCGGCGCCCCTGGTGCACCTGGCACCCCTGGCGCCCCGCGAGGCCTGCAGGCCGCCCGCAGTCACGGGTTGCACC